ACCAATTCTCTCTCTCTTTTTTTAATTATTGTTGTTAGAAACTCTTGGAAGAGAGGTAAAATGTAGCATTTTCATTTACTTTATGCTGTGTTTGGGAGATGACTTAAGGAACGGGAAGGAATGAGAACTTTTCCCCTTGTTTCCCTTTCTTCCCTTTCCCTTCATTACGCTTCAATTTGGGGTGTAAGATTTTGGTTCAAATTTTCCCCTCGTCCCCCTCATCTACCCTCCTAAATGGAACTCCCAAACAAAGTTAAAATTAGATTTCTCTTCCCCTCTCCCTCTCTATCCTCCATCCAAACAGATCATTATTGTTCTATGAATCCAGTAGCTCAGGTTCACATTTTGCAATGTCGGAGGTCCCTTTCCCAGCGCCAAAATTTCATAGTTGTGTTGAGGATTTACAGTTTTTATAGTCTAACATGACTCCACTCCGCATGTTGAATGTCCATTTTCATGGGCCAAAAAACTATACTCATCTAGCAGTATTTTATTTAACCCATTTTTAATTTGTTGCCGGCGAAAATCACACTTGTTTGGATATCATGCCAAAGGCCCCTTACACCGCATAAAAAAAAACTCCGAAGTTATTGTGATGGTAGGGTTATAGTTTCATACTCTAGCGTATACGAAAAACAAATTTTATAGGCTCTTAATTTAATTACTTAGGCACACTAAGCTTACTTTGGACCATCTTTGACATTTGCATTCCTCCCTTTCCTCTACCCAGCATGATTATGATTATCTACTAATGCTGCTGCAATCGGCTATGCATAGTGCATAAGCTTCTTTCTATCAGAACACAGGCTTTTTGCATCCTAACTCCCAACTTTGATTATATTAGTTTGAGCTCCAAGTTAGGGTATAGTTTTACCTGATCTAAATTAGTAAGTCAGGGTTACAAAGTTGGCCCCAAAATAACTAGTAGTACAATACAGGTGGCCTTGGACATTAGTTGTGGGCTCTTCTACTCTCCTTAGATCTCAAACTCCCTCTTGTCTCTGCACATTCCTTCCTCAGAAAAGCAACATATATATAACTTTCCAAGTATACTTTCAGACTTATATATGCTCCTTACTTTATTAGTTTATACACTTTGCCTCATCTTTCTCCATTTCTTTACTCCTCTCCACTTTCTACCTTGTTTCTTGCCAACAATGAACATCTATAGAGATGAGCACAATCCGTGCTGCTATTTCCACCCGAAAGAAGCGGTGACGGGGGTATGTGCCCCTTGCTTGAGGGAGAGGCTCCTCAGTTTAGCATCAAAGCATGGCAATCTTCCCGTGTCCAGAGACAGCAGATCATTCAGAGTTCTCAGGAGGAGACCTGCGATTACGCTTCCTAAAGTTTTCGCTTTGGGCTCGCTCCTTCTAAGACTTGAGTCTCGGCGAAAGAAGCCTGACGATGATGAGTCTGATCCAGGCTCCATTGACAGTCTTGAAGGTATTGCCTCAGTTCCTGTGCTCTTTCCACAAGTAGTTGTTAATGATGTTTAGTATTATATGATACAAGTAAGATATGCTTTCTTCACAAACACTGTATATTTTAGGCAAGGGAAGAGGAGAATTAGCTCTTCATTATTTGTTTTTGTTGTCAGTACCCCATCCTGCAAAATCTTACTTCTTCTATTTTTCAACACAGAGCTTCATCTAGCTTTTTTATTGAAAACCCTTTTTTTCTGAATTAAGTTAATACAATTTAGTCATACTCTTTATGTGTTTGTTGCGCAAGTTCTAAAGATCTATTATGTTTATCCTTCTTCTGCTCTTGTTCTCTCTCTCTCTCTCTCTCTGTGTTTATTTTTTTATTTTTTTATTTTATTTTAAGGGAATCCCTTTTGGTCTTATTCTCAATATATTATTTTTTTTCTGACAGAGAACTGTATCTAGCTTTTTGTAAAACCTCTTTTTTTTTCCTTAGTTAAAGTTTATAGCACTTGGTCATAGTCTCAGATATGTTGCCTGCACAAGTTCTAAAGATTAATTATGTTGATCTTTTTTTTTTTTTCACCTTTTGGTCCTGTAGTTAAGGGCCACTTCCACAGAGTAACGAAGCATATTCATATTAGTTACCACTTACCACAGTTCCCTTTGAATAACTGTAACATCTTAACAGATTCATTCATATCGATCAAATTCGAAGACAACGGGCAAGCATCATGGGAGAGCAAGCAGCAGGAGATCACAAGGCAATCATCAACAGAGGCCAAGGCACAAAAGAGGGTGATTGAACATGTAAAGCCGAGAGGTCCGCTGAGGTGGCGGAAGCGGATTGGCCAACTGCTCCAGCTGGCACGTTGGAAGAGGTCCAGCAAGGCGGGGGCGAGCCACGTGGGCCTAGCGGGTAAGGTAGAAGGGAGGAGAGGTTGGATAAGAAGTCTAACGAGAAAGAGGACCACAGAGTAGAAGAAAAAGATAGAAAGATGTGTTGAGTGAAAGAGATGCTCACCTTTCACTACCAAATTTCATGCACATGGTCACATATTGGAAATCATATAGTATATACTTATATATAATGTTTCATGTGTGTGATGGAGTTGCATGTAGAGAGCTTTTAACATTACCAAAGTATAGTCATACAGTGACGTTGGCGGTATGTGACTCTGAACTTACTAGTACTGTAGTTGTACTGTTGCAAATAAACCAGCTGATATTTCCTCGGGAGGGTAAAATAGTCAACAATGCACTCGAGGAATCTATCTACAACAATAGAAATATAGGGATAGTAAGTTGTTCAGCGATAGTACATGGGGTCTATTCGCAATTAATCCTTAAATTCTATAATTGTTTTTTAAAGAACATGTATATTGTGGCTTCAAAAATGAATGTTACATTTAGGAGTTGCAGCCTTTCAGTTTATTATTTTAGTTAGAATTGTTGTACTCGTGCAACTTCATAGTCAGTTCTCACTGAGCCTAAGTTGACTGAGACTGAACTTATCCTCTCTTTAGTCTTTACCCTACATGAATTGACTGGATCAAATTTGATTAACACTCAATATATACAAGCTAAAAGCCATAATCAATATACCAAATCTAACATAATTGCTTAATCGTTTTGTAATCATCATCTTGATTTTCCTTAAACATAAGTGTGTACTACAATTATATCTCTTCTTTAAGGTGCAACACAGTACCATACTACTTGGTGACCTACAACTCTTTTTGATTGATAAAAAGCACCAACCAATATCTCAAGCCTTTTAATTCCATGACAACAACAGTTTGTTGTACGATTATAAGCACACCCTTGTAAATCTCTCCACCACTCAATTTTGGAGGAGAGATCATGTGGCTTCCCAACAGAAGATCCTTGAACATTTTGGCCTTCCTTCAACCACTTACACTAAAAAAAGTAGGAGCAAATTATTGTAGAAATGTGACCACATTCAAAATGGAAGGAAATAATTCGTGGGTATATTGGGTATGAGATTCTACATGTGGTTGCCTTTATGTTATACTCATAACTAGTATTTATCCGTGCCGTCCAGTCTTGTTGCTTATTGCTTGTTACATTTCAGGCGTGCATATTTTTACGTTTTGTTCATGGTATTATTGTTGAATTCCAGTAGGGAACCTATCAGAATCATCTCTATAGCAGTGAGGTGATCTACACCATAAATAGAAGAGTTGCAATTCCCAAACACCCATGAACGGTATAGATTACTTATTTCTATGGGATGTGCTAACAGAATACTTACTCGTTGAAGTCTAAGTTATCCTTCAGTTTTTTTTCCCTTTCTTAATTTTAATACCTTTCTAATTAAAACAATTGTTGTTAAGTTTCAAACCAATGTACTTATATTTTAATGCATGTTTTCTCTAATTTTTTCTAAGTTCTTTTAATTAAATGCAAAAAAGTCTGTAATTGCTGATATTGTATGAAAGTAAAGAGTTTGGCCTTCACTATCAATATTAAGCAAGATATAGCTCATGAGTGAGCATGTTCTAAGTGTTGGAGTTGGCTCAATTTCTAACTAAATTTATTGCTGTAAATTTTCTGCATGCAGATATAATTTTACATGGTTTTTTCGGGCATGGTGCAGTTATTATTTGGCTCGGAACTCTACATGAAAGTTGTAGATGTACATGCATAGTTTACTCTAAGCTTTGAATCACAAGAATCAGAGAAGTATGGATGGAGTTATGGTCAGTCAAAGTACCCTAACCGAATCTGGACAGATTTGAGTATTCCCAAGCATTTTGGAAGATGAAAAGGTTAATCAATACCTATAAAAAGGCATGCTATCATTGTGGAGAGGTAATCCGAGGAAATTGAAGGCAATCCAAGGGTAATCTAAGTTTTCCACTTGTTCTCTTGAAAGTATAGAGAGTTGAGTGAATGAGAGTCTCTTGTGGTGTAAAGATCTCGAGTGTTGAGTTAATAGACAAAGAGCGTGAGTGAGGGTTGTGTGGAAGTCGGCGTTGTCGGGTGTGCCGTGTGTGCCTTGTACCCATTTATTGATTCCATATAATGAAGTATCCTCCGAGCTCTGAGCTCAACCCGTGGTTTTTCCCGTTTGGGTTTCCCACATAAATCCTTATGTTCATTTTTTATGCGATCATCTTTTATCTTTTTGTCATTAAGAACAAGAACCTGAAGTGGTGTTGAGAAGTTTCGCGGTTCGTCAACACCAACACTAAGTAGATAATTAGCTAAAAAAAACTTCACCATACCACATTTCTTGGTGGTGGGTCAGTGGAATTTTTCAACAATATATTTGATAAAGTGCCAGTATCAAAGGGCCATCTCGCTGCCTTGTCGGTGAACCTATAATGATATTTTGGCTTTGGTAGTGATAGACAACTAGCTTTTAGTAACAATGTTGCTTTCAATCTTAAGGCTTAAACAAATCATCAAGGACACAGATCGGTATAATAGCCAGATAACATAAATCATTGGAAAAGACTTCGAGCTACGTTACTGATCATGACATCATTGTTATTCAAAGAAAAATATAGATCATGACATAATTAAGGGTTAATGTTAAGAAGCTATCTTGATGTTTCATTGTTTCTAGAAACATCTATGAGCTTTATTTCCCCCAAAAAAAGCATGAAATTGATTGAAATTAAAATAACAACTATTATGACCATTGTATTGAATTTTAAAGTTCATTATATTTACTTGGAATAACAAAATCCAGAATAAAAAAATGACAAAAAATAATTCCTTAGAATTTTAACATAATCAATTTTATCATAAGAAAGCAAATCCATTATCATTGTCTGTTTCCTCTGTGTTTGCTCCAATAATCAAAGCTTATATTCACAAAATGAATAATCTTAATTAGACGCGTGCTATAAGCCTCAGGATATGTCTTGGTTAGTATCATGCAATCCAATCATATGAGCTCAATTATACAAACAAAGACGTTGGTCACAAGTCACCTCATCTACTTAAATTTTTTGAAAAATACAAAAGGCTTTCAATGCATAATCAGGCTCATGTCTTGGTTTTGAACCAATTGCATCAGATTTGGTTTTGGGTCCAGGTTCAGTACAAAAAGCAGTTAGATTTAGTTCTAATTAAAGCTGGTATTATTGTACTCAATGGCAAATTTAGTTTGTGGCTGATCAGAAATTAGCATGCACATTAATGTTAGTTTACTGTAGAGAAAGAGAATATTATCAGTGAAACATTGATCCACTTTGGTTGGTGTAAGAGACAAAAAGATCTGCTCGCATGATAAACTAATCTGAATATGATGTGTAATTTGTTTTGTGTTTGAATTATTAAGTCATGCACACTAAACTCCTTGTTACATAAGATTAAATATGCTAAAAATATTATCTGATTTATTTCGTATCGAGATCGATATTGATTCTTAAATTAAGATCTTAATCTAACAATGAGATGCATATAAAAGATAAATAAAGAAAGAAACATTAGAAAAAGTTAAAATTAATTTCATATTTGCTTTCAGATTAGAAGTAGTACATTTTGGGAGCATGTTAATCTAGGATAATACGAAATCGTACTACAAAATATAATGCATTATTGTGTTTGAATCACCAAGTAGATCTTGATCTATTTGTTACCACATTATTACAAGTGCTTCTGAGTCTCTGATAGTGGGTCCTATCACCTATGGATATATAATGGATACTTGAGCTCGTCAAACCTCTAATTTGATCTACCAAGAGGAGAATATTAAGCTGAAAACCTTGATCTAAGTATTTCGGTCTTATGCACGAATTGTATGGGAAAATGGCTGTTGCTAATATGTATAATACGTAATGTGATTAGACTTAAAAAGTCTTATTGATTGAATAAGCAAATTAAGTTGACAAATGTTGCTTGGAAATATCATCTTCAAACAAGAATGTGTACATTGTCATAGTACAAGGTCCAAAAAAAAACATCTTATTTCAGGTTCAACGACCATATGATTTTCAAAAGATTCATAAATCTAGAATAATCCATCACAAAATTAATTATTTTCGAAAACACCTTGTGTGTGCAAGATATCTAGCCAATATATATATTTATGTGGTCGTCCCTCTTTGTGGATGGTGGGTGTCCATTTCATGAGATGATTAAGGTCCAAAGTGGATGTAACCCTCCCTTCAAGCTGAAAGACCCCATATTCATGTGTGAAAGTACTCAATATGTCTCAAACCTCTTTTTTGATGCATACATTGAACATTGTAGACTTTGAGACATAATTCCTCACGCAACGTGATCAATAGATTACATCTTTTGACAAGTAGGTTTGGGACTCATTTGTCCCGTACTTCTTGATTCATGCATCGAACATTCTTTTGATATTAAGACATAATTCCTCTTTCGGCAAAAAAGATTAGTACACTAGTGCTCATGAATGATTACATCTTTTGACAAATACATGGATAAATTACACAAAATTCTTTGTTGCCATCAACATCCAATATCTCATTAACTCTGTAATTGTTAAAGTAAGAGAGAGAATCTTGGGTGAATTTTCCTTGAGTTGAATATTGAGTGTGCACATACATTTATACAAGTAGAGGAGGGTGAGGTGTGTTCTCACAACCAATGTGGGACTAAAAACCCACTACTAACACTATTATCAACATTATTATCAATAGCCCCCCTCAAACTCATGTTGGATCAAACAAAATGAGTTTGCGTACAAGAAACTGGAACTGATGAACAGGTAATGCCTTTGTGAAAAAATCTACAAGCTCGTCGGCGGTTGACACATGAGGAAGTAGAATTGTCTTATCATTGATAACTTGTTGACGGACAAAATGTGTTTGGTCCTCTCATGAAATACTGGATTATTAGCAATCTGAATGGCACTCTTATTATCACAGTATAGAAGAGTAGGAGTCGAAACAGAAATACTAAAATCACTGAGAGGACGACGAAGATGAATAATCTCTTTAACTGTTGTGGACATTGCACGATACTCTGCATCAGTGCTGGAAAGAACAACAACATCTTGTTTCTTGCTTCGCCAAGAACTTAGAAAATCACCAAGAAATATACAATAACATGTTGTAGACTTCCTGGTAGTGGGATCACCGGCCCAATCAGCATCAAAATATGCACAAAGCTCTAACTTGGATGTAGCAGAAAACAAAAGAGAGCGGGTGCTAGTACCCCGGAGATACCGAAGAATCTGTAATAATACAGCATAGTATACAGAACGTGGGACACT